AACAACCTCGTACCCAGGGCCTTTGCGCGGTTCAGAGGCTCTGGTACGGGAAGCAAAGGCCCTGGTAAACACTGGTCACGTGTGTCCAAAAATATTGGACATTTTTGTAACCTGGCCTTATTAAAGTCATGTCATCCCGGGGGGGATGAACAACTGAACATTGCAATGGGCGAACTAAATTTTAAAAATACATATTTTGCCTTTGATTTTTAAAATATGAATGTATAACAAGTGTTTTAAAATTAATATGTTAAAACAACAGGCAGCAGATTTTAAGCTTGTTTTTATTTTGATGGAAATTATAAACTTTGAAGCCACATGGATTTTGAATGCTATAAAGATCGAATGCAGTATATTCGAGGTACGATTTTATGATGCATATTATATAAAAATTATATTCTCATATATTTATCAGTTTATATATCCTAAATTCCAGCAGATTTGTGGCTCTCTGTTTGTATAATTAGTTTTCTTCGTCTAATTATTCCTCCATCTTTCGCTTTTGGATATAAACCCTCCTTCATGCCTGATACATTTTTTTGTTATCTGCATCCTTCACTAAAATCAAAATCTTCTGTACGTTCCAGCTTGCTCAGAAAATATTCAGTCTTTCATAACTGGAGTTCTCTTTGACATGTAAAATCGTCAAGCTGTACCCTCAGTAAAATACTTATTTAACTGGCTGACTATTATAGTAGTCAAAAGTTCATAAATGAATACATGCAAGAATTACAAATTAACTGCCCTCATTCCAACCATTGGTTTCTGACTCATCCAATAAAAGCTTAACAGAATAGTACGATGATAATAGAAAAGTGTGAAAATGCCAATCTTACCCAGTACCTAACTTTCTGTACGTGACAAGAAAATTAGATTACATTAATTTTACAGTCAGGTATTCTTTTCTTTATCGCCTCAATACTCTGGTTTATGATTTTGATGTTTAATTTTAAAAAATTCCAATGGCCAACATACATTCTACTGGAGAAAATGTTCCCCTACCTCTTGCCATAAAATCTCCATATCCCCCAATTTTAGTATTTTTCCCATCCAAAGATGAGTCTTGCACACCAATGAGATAATCAAATATGGCATACTTTGTTATTTTTCTCTGTCCAACACCAGACAATTTTACTTGTCAAGGGTAAAGGTTAAGTGAATAATAAAAAGTGGCTGGATATTCTATACTTGCTCCATACAATTGTACTTTGGTTGTGAGCAAAATGTAAAAAGACAGTTACCAGTAAACAGTATTAACAATATACTACATCCCTATTATTTACCTTAGTTGCGACCTTGAGCAGTTGTGCTGTTACTAATACAGCAAAATGTGGTTTCAAATGACAGTCATTTTATGGCAATGATATTCCAGTAAGACATTTGTCGTTTGTTTATGTTTTAGAATAAGATCGAAAAGGTGGTTGCAGGTATTCAGATCCTGGAGTGCTGTGAAATGGCCTTAACCTTGGGCAATTAAGTAATATGAGTGGTGTGATAGGAAATTTTTTGATTCATTGTGATTGACTATAAATAAAAGTAGAATGGTGAGAATAATAATGATGATGCTAGTGAAATACAAGTTGTGATGATACTGGTGATGCACAAGTTGTAATGATACTGCTGATAATGAAAATATATTGTACATACCAATTGTAATGAGACAATTAAATAAAGAGATTGGCAGCAATGAATGTGTATGACTTGATCAATTGTGCTGGTGAGAAGGCAGAACCTGCATGGGTGCATTCTTGTATATTGTGCGATATTGCCATGGTGTGGGTGAATGCCAATATATTGCCACCTAGATGAAGTCCCATTCCATTTTGTGTTCAAAACTATAAGGTCATGTTCTCATCAGCTCCAATCATAACTGGGAAAGTTGGTTTCAACCCTGCTAGCTGGTGTTGAAACTATGTGCACACATATAAGTATGCATTTTCCCCCCTCATGAATTATATTGTTTGCACAAAAATCTGTTGATTATTTCATCTAGAAACAGCCAGTGAATGTTTGAATTTGGTGTGTTCATGCACTCTGTGCCAAGTGAAAGTGACATATAATTCATGCATAATATGGTGATCTTTTGTTTCGCGATGTAAAAAATGAAATTTACTTACTGATAAAATTCAGTGTAACCATATTTATTAAGCCTCTACGTCTCTCTGTTAAGCCCTACCTCCATGGGAAAGAAGTAATTATAGTATTCTCAGCAAGTGGAATAATTGACCATCATTATGGAAATTATGAGCCAAAGATATTTGAAAACACAGTATGATATGTCAATCTTGGTGCTCAACTATCAGTGTATTATTTGTAAAAAGGGTAGCAGTCACAATGGTAACAATAACAATTGTGTGGTGAATCTGGTTGAAACAGAGCATTTAATCTCCTGATACAAGGCATGTTTTCTTGGGGTTGTAGCAAAGGTCTTTCATGAATTCTAAGACAGCCCAATTGCTGATGTTGCCAATTGCATTGAACCAAAGCTATTAGACGGGGTACAATTACACCTTTTTTCCAAGATATTTATATATACTATAACACACAACTGACAAATGAAGTATTTCAGAAAATTATTTACCCTAAAATTATCAGTGACTTGTTGCCATGACTAAAATTATCAAATTTCATAAATCATGAACTAATGTAACTGCAAATGTAAACAAATAGGTGAACACACACCCAGTACAGACTGTTATTTGCCTTTAGACTCCTAAGTCTGGTTTTTGCTTACATTTATATATCAGATTCCTAATAAATTTGTTACTTTATACATGTCCTTCAGGACTTCAAGATCATTGGATATTATTTCTCATGATTGGTACCCCCGCATTTACCCCCTTCTTCCAGACAATGAGAAATAAACATCCCAAATTTAAATATGAAATTAACTCACACACAAAGGTTTCAAGATACTGTGTATAATTTCATTAACAACTGTATTTTAAACTACATACATACGGAAACCAACCTGTCACTGTTAAAATATTCTGCTTTGATAACTACATGTTTACACATGAAGAATTTCGTTTCCATAGATGTTCCTTTCACTATACAGGCACAATACTGAGTATGTATCCTTCCATGAAAGTACAATAAAATCCCAAGTGATATTCTTTGGTCAATACGTAAACATTACTTATAATCATTATTAATCAACAATGTTTACTTAATTCTTTATAAAACGTCGCACACAAGCAGCTGCATGGATACAAAATAGACAGTTTATTTTAATATAATAAAAGACAGATCACTCGACCAGTTTTCTCTCAGTTTGATCGTTGATCTTTGATAAGTATTACCGTTCGCTATTCCACCATTTGTTGAAAGAAAGCTCGTAGAATGCATAGTTTTAATATATACCCATTTTAGATCTCACTAGGAAAGTTTTATTTATCGTAAAATAATAAAACTCGAAAACGTCGCGCCTTCACGCTGCCATGTTTGACAAAATCAATCGGTTCCGCTCCCCCCGAATTGAAAACTAAATTATTACGAAATGTCCAATATTTTTGGACACACGTGACCAGTGTTTACCAGGGCCTTTGCTTCCCGTACCAGAGCCTCTGAACCGCGCAAAGGCCCTGGGTACGAGGTTGATTTATTGCAAGGATTTTTAGAAAGTATAGTTAATAGTTTTAGACAATTTGGACTTTTACTGTATGGATTTTATTAGGAAGTAGTTAATCATTTTTAAAGTGACATTACTAATAATTATAAAATTTTTAATTTGTGTTTGTATGTATGTACGTATGTTTGTGGGTGTATATATATATTGTTTGTAGTATATAAATGATTTGTAATTACCTGCTGAAAAGCCCTTTTGGGAGCAGGCAATATTGTAATAATAAAAAAAAACTTGATTCGCAATGTTTATCCAATCCAAGCCAAATACCCTTTCATGTGCCAACCAAATCACCTTAGTCGAGATGAAGAATTCAGCACGAGCGATCGTAAAATTGGTGCAGCCGGAATTCTTTCCTAGAGAGATCTCGGCATTGTCGACTGAGAAAGGAGTAAAGTCCAGCAGCAGATTAGTGAATCTTTGCCCGGTATTGAAAAACGGCGTCCCGTGTGTAGGCGGCCGACTGCGACACGCCCCAATAACATCCGAAGCCATCAATCCAATGATTGTTCCCAACGAGCATCACATCGCCGCATCGATCATTTCTTATTTTCATCACGTCCTAGGTCACACTGGTCGGGAACATGTGCTGTCAGCTGTTCGGCAGAGGTTCTGGATACTAAATGCACGTGCGCTAACTCGTCAAATTCTTCGCCAGTGTATAACCTGCCGTAAGAATAACGAATTACCAATGTCGCAGAAGATGGGCGATCTCCCTGGTGCCAGACTCACTCCATACGAACCACCATTTACTTTCACTGGTTTGGACATTTTTGGCCCGTTTACTGTGAAACGTGGACGTAGTTCGCAAAAGATATACGGGTGTATCTTTGTATGTTTCACCACGAGAGCAGTTCATATCGAAGACGTCGGTTCATTAAAACTGATGCATTTATCTTGGCACTGAGGCGTTTCATAAGCGTTCGTGGAGCAGCTAAGAAAATATGGAGCGATAACGGAACAAATTTTACTGGTGGAGAAAGGGAGCTAGGCTTACTCATGCGAGAATGGGATCAAAGAACAATTGTCAAGGCAGCACAGGAGAAAGGAGTAGAATTTATGGTACTTCCAACCCTTTAAGAAATGGAATTTTCAACCACCAACCGCAAGTCATATGTCTGGTGTGTGGGAACGACTAATTCGAAGTGTGCGCAAAGTCATGAAGGCTATCCTCGGACATCCACATGCCTTTGTGGATCGTGAGACGTTGCGGACACGTTTCGCTGAAGTTGTTGGTATCCTTAACACCCGTCCGTTGTGTCCAAGCAGTGATGATCCAAAAGATATGGAAGCGCTAACGCCAAGCCATTTCCAGACAGCACAGGTTCTAGCAAATCAATTTTGGGCTCGCTGGGTTCGAGAGTATCTTCCCATTCTTCAAGTAAGGAAAAAGTGGCTTGTGTCGAAAAGAAATCTTCAAGTGAATGATCTCGTGTTGGTCGTTGACTCAACCCAGCCAAGAAGTCATTGGAATCTAGGACGTGTGACGAAGGTGTTTCCTGGCACGGATGGTTTAGTACGCACAGCCGAAGTAAAGACCCAGTCGTCGTTACTAGTGAGACCGATCGCAAAGCTTTGCTTGTTAGAAGAGACGAAATGAATTTATATTGAACGACTGTCTAACCGTTCAACGGGGGGACTATGTTGAGGCGCCCTCAACACTATAGCACGGCGGTGTTACAATTAATAGTATTCATAATTATATATACTAATTATATTAATGACATTCATATTTTGGACAAGAAAGCGTGGACGTTTGCCCTCTCGAAGGAAAGTGCAAAGTGCAACCGAGGGTGCGACAACAGCTTTGCTAAGACTTCTTTGAACAAGTTAATAATTAACGTTTAATTATTTATATCGTATGTACCTTGACATTTGCTGAGTTGATATCTTCTATTACATTTATTTTGTATTCTTTGTAAGTTAAACGGATTTAATCATGAGTATTGTTGTAAAACTTTATATATTTGTTTTCGCTAGAATTAAACTTTAGTGGTCATGCAGTATATAGTAACATTGATGTCAAGGAATTGTCGCAAATAATCTCCAAGACAAAGAGTACAGGCCGTGCCCGTACATATATATATATATATATATATATATATATATATATATATATATATATATATATATATATATATATATATATATATATATATATATATATATATATATATATATATATATATATATATATATATATATATACATATATATATATATTAAAAATGTTAAAATTGTAACCAGGATTAGACATATTATTAAGATGTAGAAAGGTTGACGCTGGTTAGATAAAAACGTTAAAAACTACGTTTATTTAAAAAGATGTTAAGACGTTTCGACCAGTAACTTAGGTTTTCGTCAGTTAAAAAGTTAACTAGGTTCAAAACTGAACAATATATATAGGTTCAGAGTTAATTAGCAAATAAGTGTTTTATACACATCCGGTATTTCGATATGGTCGTTTCCTGCGTTATGATCCTTGAGGGAATACCAAGCCTCTAAGAACAGACGTTCGCGGCAGTTTTTTGTTTTGTTGACAATGGTGGCATTACTGAAGTCAATTCGGTGATCGTATTGTTCAGCATGCTTAGCGATTTTTGAATATGAATCAAATTGCGAAACAGCTCGTTCGTGTTCTTTTATTCTAGTTTTTAATGCTCTATCTGTTTGGCCGTAATATGCAAAGTCACAATCGCAGCAACAGATTTTGTAAATGACTCCGTTTGTCTGCTCGGGTGGTAACTTGTCTTTGGGTTTGGGGAATTGGTGGGAAAGGGTACTGGTAGGTTTGTAGCACACTTTGACATTTTCTCTCCTTAATACTCGGGAGATCTTTTCTGTAACGCCTTTAACATACGGTAAGACTACAAAGCTAGGAGCGACACAATCAGCGGGATTTGTCCTGTTGTTGTTGACATGAGTGGTATGCAAATTGCCGTTGGTGTTATCAGTATGACTGCGTTTCCTCTTGATGTCGTAAGACTTTATAAACTTAAGTGGGTAACCGTTGTCTCTCAAGACTTTAAATACATGTCTTCTTTCTCTGCGTTTTCCTCTGTTGGACGAGGGAATTTTCTCAGCTCTGTCGAGGAGAGTATTTAGGACCGACAGCTTGTGTTGTTTGGGATGGTGTGAGTCGTAGTGTAGGTATTTGTCTGTGTGAGTAGGCTTTCTGTATATATCGACCTCTACTTTGCCGTTAGAGCGGATAGTCACGGTATCCAGGAATGGGAGGCGTCGGTTTTCTTCCAGTTCGATGGTGAATTGTAAATATGAGTTAATGGAATTGAGGTGGTTGTGAAATTCGTTCACCTGGGTTTTCTTCAGACAGGAATGGCTATCGTCAACATATCTGAACCACCATCGCGGGGGATGTGGTGCTGTAGAAATTGCAGTTTCTTCCACATGTTCCATAACTATGTCAGCAATGGTAGCGCTAATGGGAGACCCCATAGCACAACCTGAGATCTGTTGGTAATATTCATTATTATATGTGAAGAAACTGTTCTGAAGGACGAACTCTAATAATTTTGTGATGTTAGTAATGGATATGTCTGTTCTTTGTGTCAACGATATGTCTTGTTGCAACCTCTGTTTGATCACCTGTAGGGCTAGTTTGGTGGGAATAGATGTGAACAAGGATACAACATCGAATGATACCATGACTTCATCGTCTGCAATTTGTCGATGTCTAATTTGTTGAGAAAAGGCAAAACTGTTCCGAACTGTATATGTCCCTCTGACGAGTGGGGATAATATTTTGACCAAGTGTTTCGAGAGGTTGTATGTTGGGAAATTAATGCAACTTGTAATGGGGCGAAGTGGTACCGCAGGTACCTATATATATTGTTCAGTTTTGAACCTAGTTAACTTTTTAACTGACGAAGACCTAAGTTACTGGTCGAAACGTCTTAACATCTTTTTAAATAAACGTAGTTTTTAACGTTTTTATCTAACCAGCGTCAACCTTTCTACATCTTAATAATATGTCTAATCCTGGTTACAATTTTAACATTTTTAATATATATATATATATATATATATATATATATATATATATATATATATATATACATATATATATATATATAT